TTGCTGCATTATTTCTCTACCACGTTTGACAGTGGATGATTGCAGAAATCTTATTTCCTTTTTCAGGAAGATTTGGTGTACAGCAGATGCTAGGTGTATTCTTTATGTAGTAAAATGAGTTTATAGAGATGATGACCTTGACCTCAACACCCATGATGCAATAGGACAAGCAGATTTGTAATGACTGCTACTAAATAAACATCCAGTTACCGAGTTTTAATCCGAGTGTCATCAGTGAGTTTAGTGGTATATATCATACTTCCCACTGTAACAGAGCTACACTCGTTTTAACCAGACTATCAGTTGTAATTGCTGTCCATGCTAAATCTAGTACATATGTGTATTTCGGGGTTGGGCCTCCAACGCATGTAACCACACTGTTTCCCCATCAAGAAGATATCTCCCCAGACTCAGATGCACAGGTTATCTATATTTTTTGTATTGTTAAGATGGCTTCATTTTGATATACCGGGTAAACATGTACCATCCAATACAACATACTTGTGCTACTTAGTAGTACATGGTTTGAAAAGAACCAAATTGTCCCTGAGTTCAACCTCACTACATCCAGAATCTCTCAACACTGTTACCATACGATTGTTTACCATAGAGCTTTTACCACTGGCATGTAGGTACTTAGTGCAGAGTTAATATTCACCATTATTTTATCAATATTCTTGGATGTAGAATTTTTGTTTCACCTATTGACTGTGTTTAGGGTAGGGCCTTCAGTGATTTTAGATGGATTAGGTGGGCTACATTGAATGCATGATACAACTATTAATGGCAATTTCTTTTAATGTGACCCTTTTTTTGCAGTGATGGCAGGTTTGGATCAACAACTTTGTCTTGTCGGTTGGTGTTGCACCAGAATTGAATAATCATGGAGACAAGTATTAATTTTCGCTAAAGCAATGATTCAGTGAAAATAAAATCCAGCGAATATACCATTTTCCCCATATTTTATATTCAACTCATCAAAAATTAATTCCAGCTAAAAGTATTTTACAGTAGTACTAGTAGCTTCGCGGTAAGTGGCTTTCGCGGTAAGTGGGTTTCGTATTGGGTGGGTCTCGCGGGGAGTAGGGCTTTGTCACAGTAACTGTTTTTTTCATCGTTGTTGAGAATTAAAGTTTTATGTTTCTTTAACAACTTGCGCTATTCTGGGAATACCATCCTTAGAAGCTATTAATTAGCCCTTATGATTTGTGCAGTTGCTCTGGCAGGAGTTTCAAAATAAGACCCATGCTCTGATAATGCCCATAGTTTCAAAGACCAAGAAACATTATCATTATGATCTCATTGGTGTTGCAAAGGATAGCTGAATATTGTTTATTAAAATTAATAATCCCCATAACATATAGATAAATTATAGTACGCAAAAAATATATATAACTCAATCTCAACAATGAAATAAAGAAATATATATATATATATATATATATATATATATATATATATATATATATAAATATTTACATTATTACTAATGCATTGCAATACAACTAATTAAAATTGAAAGAAATTGCAATATAAAATATCCATCAG